TGATTACTTAAATTAGAAAGATCTTCTAAAATTTTAAGTTTCGGACTATTGACCATTATAGATGTCCTGCACTGTATAATAGTTAAATCATTTGAAATTGAAGATGCATTTGGTAGTGTTAAACCTGATCAAGGAACAATTGCTGCTATATCTATTTCAATGTTATTTCTTTGGATTGAATTTGTAAGTAAAGCTATTGTTTATCATTTTTGTTATTATTATTAATAATTAACCAATTAATTGTTTATTTAAAAAGCTTTCATACCTTAGATTATTTGAAGGTACATTGTGTGTATATATATTAATTTGTAAATATAAAAATATATTAAAAAAAATTTAAATTTTTGTAGGTGTAGGAATTTATATTATAATCACAGGAAATCTTTTGGTAACTGTTTGGCCACTTTTGTTATTTATGCTTATTGTTATATTGGCATTTGCTCATGTAATGTAAGTAGTATATTTGTATTTTAAAACATCCTTTCAAAAATAATATAATAATAATATATTATATTATAGGTATATATTGTTACAAAATCCAAATGATATAGGATTAGTACCAAATGTGAATACATATTCTATAATCAATACAAATGATCAAACATTATATAATGATATAACAATTAAAGCAGATTTTGATAGCACATCATCAATTGATAATCCATTTTCAACCTTTTTTAGTTCAATTCCAGCTGCATATTTTTGGATTAATGGTAACTGGATAAATAGGGATACTTATGGCAGTTATTTTATGGTTCAAATTTTATCTTTAATTGCAAGCTTGTTAATTGTAAGCATTATACAAAATATGTTTATAGCTTTTATGAGGTGATTAATAATTATATTTTATTGCTTTAACTATAATAATAATATTATTTCCATATTAATGTAAATAAATAAATTTTACTTAGTAATGTGTATGAAAAAACATCACAAGAAAGTAAACTTGAACTACTCAAGCTCCAAGCTGCTTTCATATCAGACTATGAGGCTTTAGAAGATGGTTTTTTAAATCCTCCTAAACCTGATCCAAAATACATTTGTTATAATAATAATAATTTTGATTCATGGAAAGAAAGAACCAAATCAAGAAGAGGTTGTTTATACACAAAATATGAAAATGAAAATTCTTATATTCAATACATTCTTGAAAAAAAGGATTTTGACCATCAAGCTGATTCTTTGTGGCAGTTTCATAAGGAACTGGATGATTTCAATGATGATGGTGTTAATGAAAAAATTTCAAATTTAGAAAAAAAAATGAATGCCAATAATAATGATGTTAATAAAAAAATTTCAAATTTAGAAAAAAAAATGGATAAAATAATATCGTTACTCACAAAACCTTGAAATTTTCTCTTTAAAAAATACAATGTATTATTTTTTTTTTTCAAATCCAGGATTAGTTTTTATTATGTTAACCCTTTATTTTATAATTTTTACAATTCTATAAACGTTTTTACACATAAGCATTTTAAATTGTCAATTATTATAGTGTAGGTTCATATTAATATATGGGGTATTCTAATACTTTACATTACTTTATGTCACATAAGAAATTTTCAAAGTGATGAATTTGCTAAATGCTACCATGTGATTTCACTAAATTTTAAATTTTAAATTTATGACAAACAACTTAACATCAAAATCATATATCTTTTCTGAAATGAATTAATTGATCAAAATCTGGTCATATTTTCATTTAGATTTTTGTTATCGATGATTCCCCAATTATTACTTGATCAGATGACTCAGAAAAGAAAGTTGAAAGAGTAAATTGCAAATTTGAAGGAATTTTAAACTGGAATATAACACAAAGTATAGTAATAGCGTATAGTATTTCTGGCAGCATCTTAATTATTGCTGTATCTGCAAGTTTTTGCTTATAAATCTATAGAAGCTAGGTTATAAAAACCTCAAGTCTATTCATGGGATCGGCATTTGAATTTCATGATCCCAGGCATAGGAAATCCCATTTACTGAATCATAGTTGCTCCCAAAACAATTGATACTAAAAATATTGTAATTCGTTTAATTGGTGTAGTATCTAAAGGAGCTGACAGTAACTTATGATTTTTTTCTTTGTCTCTGCAACTTCATGATTATTTTTTTTGAATAAAAGTAAAAAAAAAAGAACAAAGAATTTGTGGCAAGGCAGGCGGATAATTGCAAATTTTCTACATGATCACCATAGTGTTTCTTCAATTACTGCCTTTTTTTGTATTGTTTAGATAATCTCATTATCTAAGTATTGGAGCAATGACAAAACGCAATATTGATTTTCATTTCATCATGAGATTTAGCCTCCAAATATTTCTAGAGTTTTAGTTAAGTCGTTGTCATGCAAGTAAACTTACTAGCGTCTTTCCCCTCAAAACAATCAGAACAAATACACAATGTACGAAATTCATTTGTTGATTTAGTGAAAATTTTTTTTGCAAGATTGAAATCCCAAGCAAGGAATCCTAATGTTTCGCACAGCCTATGAATGCTCAGAGCATCCATTACATTTTTAGTCACAGAGAAAGTGTCAATAACACATAAAATGCCGTCTTTAAGTTAGGCAAGATGTCTATTGAAATTCCCTCTATGACTCTTTGAATCCAGAATTACACATGGTGAGTATTCAACATCTGTATTCTCTTCTAATAATTCATCTAAATCAACCAGAAATTTGATATCAAGATTATTCCTTTAATATCATCGTGCCAAATTCATAAATGATCTCTTGTCATACATGATTCATGGTATAACTTCTTTTTTCCTTCACGTTATAAATCAAAATCAATTAAATTTTCAAGATTACAATTGCTGATGAATTAGATGTTTTATGTATCCCGTTCATTCGCTGTGACAAGGTTTGACTGTATAGTTTTTTTTGTATAGAAATTTTAATGTAATAAAATGGATTTTTAATCAAATATAGGTTCTTTAGCGATTTTTCTTCACAACCTTCTAAAACCTCCTCATTTTCAATGGACTCGCCATCTTCAGTTTTTTTCTAGAATAAATACTAGTGACTATTGCCAATTGTGTTGGTGATGATTATATCAATTTTTCATAAATGTATGAATGGTGCGCAAAAATCCTACAGCTGATATAGAAGAATTGTAAAGGAGTAGGTGACAAATAAAGAATTCTATAACAAGTTACAAAGTTTCATGAAATCTACTGGCGGAATTAATTTAAATGATATAGAGGGTTTGATGGTGTCAGCGGTAGAAATTGTAATAACAGTGATGTTAATATGACAAAATCGGAAAGCCATAAAGTAAATTCAAAGGTAGTTCATTTCAAGTTAAAATAAATAAACTATAGAATAGCTCTGATCAAGTTGATGTAAATATCTGTTTGTCTATCTATCTGTTTATATCACCAATATTATTAATATTAGAGGTTGGAACCAGTTAGACAGTTAACCGGTCTAAATACCGTCAGTCTGATCAAAGGATCAGAGGTTTATTCAAATTATTTATCAATTTGATTACATTGAAAGTTTATTCGAATTATTTGAATAAATAAATAAATCGAATACAAACGAATGAAGTGAATAATTCGAATTTGTATTACGAATAGAAATACAACTATTTGTTAAAGAATAGAGACAATGATGAATTTTGAATTAATGTATATATATTTTTTTGAAATATATTAACAATTTGAATTGAATTATAACAAAATAAGATAAATTGAAACACACGAGAGAATTTTCAGAGACAGGCCGTTATAAGCTATAGGAAATTAATTAAGAAAACCATTATAGAGTAAGGTTTTTTATATAGTAAAAATTTGGGTTCCGATTTACAGTTCGTTATAGAATGGAGGCCGTTATAGAAAGGGCTGTTATAGAGAGAGTGAACTGTACATTTGAGTTATTTTATTTCCTGTGACACTATTAAAAAAATTCCTTGCAAGGTAGAATGACTCAACAATCAATATCTTCAATTTTTTTATACGAATTTCTGACGTAGGGAGCAGACACAACAATCAACGGAGAAGCTTCTGGTAGTTCTGTTTTATTTGAATCTTTTTCAATTAAAATTTTTTGTATAAAGTTCAGCTGTTTATAACAAAATTATAATTAACATTTTGTTACAGTAATTACAACACTATAATACAAATATAAATGCATATTCTGTTCCATTTTCTACGATTATTCATCCAGTTACTTGCAAAATACAATTTTTATTAAACTCGACTATTGGAGGCTCCGACCCTCCGAGGTAACCTTTAATAAAATTTCATTATAACTATTGTTTTCAATGTCTCTGTAAATAGCAGAACCATCAATTGTTTTACTGTTCGTGGACACATTTTTAATAAAAACGACTGAAATAAATATTGAGCACATTTTTTTATTTATTTAACACAAACAAAAATTTAATAATCTTTTCAATATTTGTTTTTTAAAAACTTTATATACTTCTCAATTGATATGTAATGTGGATTCATTAACTGTTTAAAATTATTGGAAATTTGTTGTTATTATACAAAACCCATCTCTCCTAAAACTTCACCAGTATATAGTTGTTACCTCTCTAAATTGGAGATCAAAGTTCAGATCCAATTCAAATCCAGTTTATCACTTACTTTTTATTGCCAGAATGTTTGCCGTGTATTGTAAAGTTACATTGCACAATATAAAAAATTAATCTAACATTTCAAATTTCCACTATGGGTAAAGATTAGTCACGATATTTATTATTATACATGTGGGAAAATGAGAAATTATTTATCTATATATTCTAAAAATAAATAAAACTAACAATCTTTTGCAAAAAAAAAAAATACATATGGATCAGTTGTTTCATGACGAAATATGTTATTATTATTATTGTAATAGTAACACAATGCGGATCGTCTCATATTGGATTTTAAAAAACCCACCATTATTCAATTTTCTTTTCATATTTGAAAGTTATGCTCAATATGTTCGTTAAACTTTTTGTTGTAAATAACTTTTAATCAAATGTTTTGAAGCTTGAGTCATGAACAATAAAACTTATTAAATTTTTTGTTTTAGTATTTTGAAGTTGATCAAATGTTATTATAAGCAATTAATGATTATATATGATTTGCACCATAAATAGCGAGCGAACATAGTTGAAATTTGAAATGTTACATTAATTTTTTATATTGTGCAACGTAGCTTTACAATGGCAAACATTCTGGCAATAAAAAGTAAGTGATAAACTGGATTTGAATTGGATCTGAACTTAGAGAGGTAACAACTATATACTGGTGAAGTTTTCTGTATAAATTTTCGTGTAACAACAAACTTCCGCTATGCTTAAATAGCGTGTAGCTATTTTAAGACAAAAATTTTTTAATTAATATCCATTATGCGATAACGAACGGCGAGTCACCTAGTCAACGTAATTATTTTGTAAAGATAAAATGGTTTTAACATAATATAACTTATTTATTTATTGTGCAATAGTAATAAATCAATAAGTTTTGTAAGGAGACAACCCCTTTGTTTTCACACGATCCGGAAATATATTTTTATTGCTTATATTTTATTATTATCGTAAAGAGACTTTTTTTTAATATTGTACAATTTTATTTATTAATAATAAAATTAAAATTAAAGTTTTCATAACACAAAGAAATTATTTATCTATGTATTTTAAAATATGTATAAAATAAATTCTATATAAATAAAACTAACTCACAATCTTTCGCAAAAAAAAAAAAAAAAAAAAAAAAAAAAATAATAAATAATTTTATAAGAAAAAAAAACA